TACATATCTTATGTTAAATGAGACTAATAAAACCCTTTTATTATATACATCAATAATTTTCTATTATTAAAATACTAAAATAGATGTTTAGGTTAAGCCGTCGAAAGTCATTGCTTGGAATGGGAACGGGATACAGAACAAGCACAAGTCATAAACCTCCAAATTGTCCAGCAGATATTGTAATTTAATACAGCCGAGCGCATCTTATGGAAGTACTCAACTGCAGAAATTTCTTTTTTCACCAGGCTGTGATGTACTCCACGTCATATTCATTTCATTGATCTGGTCTTTGGGGACAGGTTAATCATGCCATACACGTGTCGCTGACATCATGGTCGTTTCCTCGTTCACTACATGTGGCCTCGTTGTCATCGAATTAGCTTGAATTTGGGGATCCCGCTACGCTTTCCCTACTCAGAAATCCTTTCGTTCTTCCTTACAAAAGTTGATTGCTGCCGCACATAATATTAAAACCATATATATTTGTTCAGTCTAAAGTTTTTAAAAATGATGTTGATGATGATATAAATTTATCAAATTGTGGATTACTTCAGGTATCGATAATATGGGTTGATTGGTTGTGTTTCTTACTTAATTAGGTCATGGTGTAGTTAAAAGTTTACAAACTAATTACTTGCACGTTGAATTCTTTCCTATAAGAAAAAAATGTTTCTTCTTGGCTTTGGCCTTTGGACAAGAAATGTCAATAATATGCTTTAGCTTCCACTGCCAGATTGTTCCTTTTTAGCCATTATCAACACAATTGTACGACATGATTTTAAAAAAAGTTGTGTTCAGCAAAGTAGGTACACTCGCACACACATATATAAAATATGGGAAAAGTGTCTATCATTTAAAATTACACAACTTACATCCTTTCACTCTCACAAAGAAGTGGGGCCCACATCTTTATTTTTTTTGTCAACTCTCTCTCCTCCTTTATCTATCTCTTTCTCTCTCCTAAAATGACACAACTTTACATCCTTTAAAATTATACACACTTTTCCCATAAAATATTTGTTTGCTAAAACTACTTTTGCCTGAAGTATAAAGTCGCATGGTATGAGAGATGCCAAGCCCCACAAAATTACAACATACATGTAAGGTCCTAATTTTTTTACAGTCCCCAACTTACTTCTCCTTTTAAAGGAGAAGAGATTTTTTGCAACAACAAAAAATAATTATATCTCATTAGTAAGATATAGTTGTAATATTAAAATTGTTTTTTCTCTTTTCACCACGTCAGTAAATAGCTTTGTGAGAAAAAAAAAATCCGTTTCTTAATTATAGGAGCCAAAATTAATATTGGACAAACTAAATAAGCTGATTGATTCATTTTTTGTAAATTCAAGGATATATCCATGCTTCTTTTGAAAGGTTTCTTTTCCATTTCCTAAAAATTAGCTTTTGTAATTTGATTAAGTATATTTTATAAGGATTTAATTTGTAGTTCTTCAGTTTTATTACTACCCTTTTAGTTTGCTTTTATTGGGTTGCTGTCCTCCACATTCTCCACTTCCCTACTTGCAATCCAATAGTTAAATGAACAAGTTTTTTACATTAAAAAATAAAAATAAAAAAGTGGGTCGAATTTGCCAGACCTCTCCTTATAAATAATATGGATATAGAACTCAACGTATATACATCTTTTCTGCAATCTTGTATTAATAACAACAACCAATAATGGTCCATCAGTACTGTTCAGACATAATCATACATTCAATGATGAAGTACTGATAAAGTCCACCATAATATGGCATGAATCTACAACAGCTTGTACTTTGCTATGGGACAATATCAACTGGTTCAGTACTCGTAATAACTATTACACATTGACTTTTTTAACTTTAAACTTAACTCACATTCCATTTGTTTGGTGAAATTAACCAAACTTCATATTTTGCAGTTAAGAATTCATAAATTAAAAATCTCTAAATAATTCCGTAGCACAAGTTATTATTATTATTTATCTTAAGAAGTTTATTAATATTTTTTTGAGTGTAATAATAATTTTTACTTATTATAAATATGTTCTCGTTGGCATGAATATTTGATATTGCAAAAATCTTTTCACCGTTGAAATCAATTTTACTTACTATTTAAATTACTTTTTATATATGCAACGTTATTTAATTAATTATATAGAATCATTAAAATAAGCAGACAATTTTTTTTCACAAGTACATTCCAGGGAGGCCAAATCCATACTATAATCAATACATCAAGGCTTTAATAAATCGAATCTAAGACGCTCACTCAAACTGCCCCATCCCTTAATTTGTGGAGCTATATTAGGTAATGTGAAATTCTTTAATAATGAAGGATTCGTTTTATTCCCACTCATGACTCATATTGTACGCATAACTATAAACAAATATATAAGTATTACATATTTTTACATAGTATTCACCTAATAAGAATATGATTGATAAAAGTTAAAATAAAATTAGAAATAAACAGTAAAATTTTACTTATGCATTGATACTTATACACACCTAGATGTAACTAGATGTACCTAGATGTAACTTATGCATTGATACGTTCATATTTTAACTTACTTGTCCTCCACTCAATGCATCAATCCTTACTCCTACGTATACACACCCTAATTTTATTTTTCAAAAGAAAGAAGAACAAATATAGTTTATCAAAATATCAAATTGGACATTATGACAAATTGCTAGATCAAACCTTCGTATTTGGCGTTCACTTATTGCGTGAATATCTCTCTTATTTTCTAATTACTTTTTCTTGGATCAGGATCATTTCATGTTATTAATTAACTGAAAGGATTATATCATGCGAAAAAAATATAAAAGTAATTTTAATAAGATTCATAATTATTTATACAAATTTTATTAATCTATTTTTGTATCTTTCATTCTTGTAACATTTATGACTAGAATCCTAATCCATTTTTGCTTATCCCTTATTCCGATGTTTACTAATTCAAATAAGATTTAGAGCCCATAAGTAGGTATGTGCTTCCGAAGTCAACAAGAATACCGCAATTTACATTTTTTGTACTACCGTGTACAATTAAATACATTGTCTTACTTTCACCAAAAAAAAAATAAAAAAAAATACATGGTCTTATGCTGATTTCTTGACTTCCTTCGTTCGTAATTTACAAGTAGGCTTGCACAATCGTGATCATAGTCGTGGCAATTGTAGGATAATATTACTACATATGATTTAGCTGGTTTTCATTTATGCAACAACATCCTTCCTTGATAATTGCCAAGTAGGATTCAGTGATAGAGCCGGTAAATAATTTTAACTCGTGTCAAAAAATTCAGTCAGGAAGAACCCAACCAGTATGAAGGCTGTATCATTTTTGAAAACTCAGTCAGTGATCATAATATTTAAAGAACACATGTATCATTTTTGAAAATTAGCCAGTACCAAAGCCCCATGTGGTCAGTACCAAGACTTGAAATAGTTCCATAAGACTAAATGCTTTTTCTGTTTTGCATTTGAGGATGTCAACTAAGTTAACTAATAGGTACTAGTGTGAAACATTAAACTTTAATAAAGGGAAGAGTTTCTATTTTCCTCAAGCAATTATAAAATAACTTGACCAAATTGTGTTGGTAAAAAATCAACAATTTTTTACTTATTAATATACTTTACATTGCATCACGTGCATATTGAGACAAAAACATAGAATAGTAAATTTCGACAGCATGATACCCTATTTCATATTTTTTATATAGCTGTTCCCATCAAATACCAATACTTTATCACACAAAAATTGCAAACAAACTTTAAAATTAAAATTGACGAAACCTGCATCCACATATGGCTAGTTTGATCCTGAAAATACGATGTTCAATAATGCATGTCCTATATATATTTGCAGGAAAATAAAAGAGAAGCAATGCCTTCTGCAATTATGAGACACCCATAAGATGCCAACCAAAACTGTTGACACCATACTTGGAGTGCCAAAGTGCCAAATTCAGTTCTCAATCTTTCTGTTTTGTCCTTACATTATTATTCTATTAAGACTCTAATATTGTCATGATAAAGAAAAAGCGACAACTAATTATTTATGCCGATCCTTTCCCTACCTGCCAAATCACAATTAAAACCCATGTTACCATATTAAATTTTGGTTTGTTTCCCTTTCAAACTGCTTCAAGAGCCTAGCTAACATAGTACGCCTTATTAATTTTTATATTTAGATAAAACCCTATATTTTAATTCTTCATTCTTTTAATATAGTCTCATTCATTAACTCTTTTTTTCTTCTATTTAGCCTCAGACTAATAAAAATATAAATTAATTAGCTCCTTCGTACGGTGAATTTGAAGCAAATGTTAATTACGGAATCAAATAAAAAAAAAATGAAACGATAAGATTTATTAAACTAATCATTAGCCCTCCCTCTTCAAATATAGTTCAAAAGATTACATTTTAATGCCAAACGCAAAACAAAAGGGTGAAGCAGAAGAAATGTGAAACCAAAAGAAACAATCTTCCACACACAAGCTGACATTAACCGCATAACTTTGAAAACCTTCTCTTTTCTCTTTCCCTCTTCATCTATCTATCTATCTATGAAATTAAAAAATAAAATAAAAATAAAACAGCTGTTTGTGTTGGGCTATGTGCTGGAGCAGAGAAGTAGCTCACAGACACAATCACAACAATGGGTGCACTGCGCACACTTTCAAACATCGCAGAAAGCAAGCTATATGAAGCCTTCCGAAAATCGCCAAGGTTGAAACCAACAATGTAATTAACAATCCCCAAAACAAAATACATGAATAAATATAAAAATTAATAAATTAATTCACTTTCATTTCTAATCTTCAAATGTTCAGGTTCTTTAATTGTTCCCCTGATACAATCGACGAGACTCCAAAAAAGATCTCAAAAATTTTAAAAAATAAAAAAGGGGGGGTGTAATTAGTAAAGCAAGAAATGAAGACAATTTTTCTTTCACTTTCATTTCCATTTTCCCATCTACCAAACACGATCAATATGTTAAATTGTCACACCTCCAGAAACCCAGTCAACCTAAGAATCGAATTTCGGACCTGGCTCAAATCACGTCCCTTCAATGTTCTCCCGTTCCCCGTGCACACCGACGACGCCATTTTCCCGTCGATCCTCCGTCCCACGATCACGTGCGGCGGCACCATACCCTCCTCCTCCTCCTCGCCGAAACCCAACCAGCGCGGCATCCTCTCCGGGATATTCACCGGCACCGAATTCTTCACCGTCTTTTTACCCTCACCACTCCTCATCCACGACTTGCCGCCACGCGAATTTTGCTGCTGCTGATGCTGCTGCGGCTGCGGCGGCGCCACCACCTCCCAGTAGTCGTTGAGCGGAGATCGATGGTGGTCGGAGAAGACAACCTCGGATTCAAAGAACTCTTCGGCCATTTGGTTAGGTTTTAGTTAGAGACAGGTTTAAGGTTTTTTGTCTTTTAAATATATATATATATTTTTTTTTAAGGTTTGGGAATGAAACAGTGAAGGTTTGGGGGGTTTATTAATAAGAGGAAATGAGATAATGAGAAGCGTGGGTGAGTACATTTTGGATTGGTTTGTGTCGTCAGATGTCGTCATCGCCAAAGGCGTTTGAGTGCATCCGTGTTTTCTCTTGATTGTACCATGTTCCTGCCTGCGTGACTTTCATTTCCATCATTCAAATCAATTAAACTACCTCTCTCTCTCTCTCTCTCTCTCTCTCTCTCTCTTTGGGTCCCACACTCCTTTTGTTTTTCTTAATTTAATATAATTCTTCCTTTTCTTGTAATTTACTTGTAGCTTGTGTATGCAGTTAATCCCATGTTTAAATTCACACCAGTCGGCTTCTCTTACACACGGCTCCTTCCTTGGATACAATTTCACTTTTGTTTTTCTACGCGTTTTCCATTTTTTTTTCCTTACCATTTTTCATGCTTAGTTTTCCAAATCTAGAGAATTCTCTTACAATTATGATAATTACTATGTAATCTATTTCTCTAGTTATTAGATTGCGGTTCAAAGTTTATCCCTAAAAAAAAATTGATTTACAAAATTTAAGTGGTTAAATTAACCTTTCTGAACTCGGTCAACAATTTTATTTTATTTTTTTAAATAATGTTACGAACATGATTTTTTTTCAATGATTGCATAAGTGTAAATGAAAATTTATTTAGTTACGTGTACTCTGCAGTCAATACCTCTTCAAACTTCAAAGACAATGAATTAATTACTTTACCGTTATTATGGATAGATACTAACAGATTCATGAATGCTACCCACATCTCTTTTTCGTGGGGTCATCTTTAACTAATGAAGATCAAGCAGGAAGAAGTGTAAATGCACGACGAATCAAATAGCAATGCTATTTACTTACGTAATTGTTTTAAGTTGTACTAGACTACTAGTACGTTGTTATCCAGAGAGAGGAGTTAAGAATTTTAATACAGGGTGCCAAACAAACAATTAACGTTTTTAAGGTGCTTCTATGAAACAAACAACTCAAAACGCAAGTCATATATGTATTTGTCCAGAACAAAATTTGCCTAGAACGTAGGTTTTTTTTTAAAAAAAATCATATTCGCAGGAGCTTTTCATAGCAGTACCATAATGTTTTAATTTTTAGAAAACCAAAAGTTTACATTTTTTTTTTTCTGACAAAGGAAAAAGATTTCTTTTAAGAAAATATTTTTGAGCTATATATGAGCATAGAGAGAGTGAGTGACCCATCAGCCCTTTTACTTTGTTCCTGATTATATATGGTCTTTTATATATTTCAAATGTAAATAAATTCATTCACGTTTTTTTCTTTCTTTTAAACTGATTACAAAAGGTCTTTTGTTCAAATATAAATATTCATTTAAGTTGTTGTTTTTTAAACTTAGTGTGTGCATGGTTTTGCTTAATTATTCTCAAAACATCTTTTTACACCAAAAATAAAAATAAAAATAAAATCCCTTGCACCGACTACTTGTTTGGATAAATACAAAAACAGCATTTTAATTTTTTTCTTAACTAATTATCTTAATACTAATGAAGAAAGTATTCAATATTTTCAATTCTTAAATTATGAAATGTATTAAATGTACTTGTTTTTTATTAACTTTTTAAGTACGAGTTTTAATAACTAATGCCCTCTCCTATTGAATGTTTGTAATTACTTTTTTTATACATTGTTTGTAATTATTTAAAAAAATAAGTAATAAAGATTTTACATAATCTTAGGGTAAAAAAATTCTCCGGTGAATAAGATAAGTTATTTTCGGTGAGCCTAAAATGACGTCGTTTTGAGACGAAAATTAAAGTGTTTTTGTAATTCTAATGTATTGCAGGATTATATTAGATTATTGGTCTTTATCATTATAATTTTTAATTTTATAATCCAAAATTACATTATTTTGAGCTCACTGGAGATAACTTTATTACTACGAAATACTTCTCCCATAATTTTAATATAATAAATATTTTATTTCATTTAATATTTTTAAAATTTTGTTTCCTTAATTATTCCTTTGATGACTCTTCTTAACAAATTGCGTTACATGATTATTAGGACAATGTAGGATAATATACTATTATCCCTAGAAAAATGATGTTGCGCGAACTTTTATAACTGTAACAGCTTTTTTCAGTAAGTTCAAATTTGAGCATTGAATTCTATTATTTTAAAAGCATTGAAGATAAATATGGTTTTGTCCTCAATTATATAAGTTTTCACAACATTTTATATTTCTTTTGATAATTTAATATAGAAAAGAAATATTTTATATAATTCAAAAAAGTTTAAAAAGCCTGTAAATTAATAAATATAAATATAAATTGTTTTTTATATAATTTATTTTAAAAATAAATTATACACAATTAAAATTTTAGTATTTTCTTTTTTCACAACTAATCCAAGCATAATTATAAGGTTATAAAAGACTATGATCTGTGCAGTTGCTTAAGACTCTAAAAGGTTGTGTTAGTTGCGTTATTCATGCTCTAACAAAATATTTTGAGAGCGCTACCTGGCTTATCCAGAAGAAAATTACTTGAAGGTTTTGTTTAACTTATCCGGGAAAACTTTCTGCAACTAAAACTATAAATTTAAATCATAATGATTAAGTTTTAGCTTGCGGATTTTTCCATTGTGAGAATATTTGTTTGGAACCGGATCCTCATGAACAACTTATTTGTTCACTTAAAATTCTAAACTTTTACGTTAATCTGATCAATCATCTAGGAATATTTTCAGAATTATTCATTCACTTTGAGATTTTGAATTCCATGAGAATATGTTTAATTAATGATTTGTGGGAGGCTAAATCATTAATCAGGATACATTCAAGTACTGGTAGGATTAAAAAATTCAATTAAAATGGTATAAATTGATCCACTAAAAAAAAGGTATAAATTGGTTTCAAGTTCTACTTATCATAAGTGACCTTAGAACAAAGCAACTTTTCCTCCTCTTAAACCTTCTACATCTAAGAAAATATATTAAAATTCTGTCTTAGGTTTATATATAAAAGAAAAAATCTCTCTTAGGTATTTTTCTCTAACTTTTTATGATTTATGAAACGCTTTGGGGAGATTGTACTATTAATTTTCTTTACTCCTTAATTGAATGTAACTATATTTTTGAGCAACAGTAAATAATATGTTGTGCTTGGGATGCTCTTGTAAATAAAATGCTGTCATTTTGTTTGTACAGAGTGACTTGATGTTCTTGACTTGACTAAAATAATGTCAATAGTTCGTATCAGAAAAGTAATAGTGTCTTCATAATATAGAATAGTCTAAAACTCGATACAGTAATATATGCGTGTGTGTATCATTAAGGAATATAATTTTGTCCACGAAGCACAATATGCACGTGTCTCCTTCGAGATCGATAGCGGATATGACATTGAGTCGAGAGTATATAGTTAACTTGTAATAAAAGAGAAACATATATAGTCAACTAATAATGACAATTTTAAATATTATAATAGGCGGAGATAAGGTCAAAAGAAATATGCGGAGGATAAATTTATAATTTAGGTTTGGTACGTGTACGATTAATGTAAAATTTTATAGCACCATCTAATTATGTATTGTAAAATAATTAAAAAATAATTTTCATAATAAATTTTATATGAATTTTTAGCTTCTTAATATGCTAACGAATAACAATTTGTATTAATAATATATTAAACTTAAATTCTTCATATCGGAAAAGCAAATAAATAAACTCTAAAATTTATGACCAGTTCTCCATCAGAAGTATGACCAGTTAACGGTTCAGATGATAAGGCCGATTGCATGTTTAACCTGTATATTGTGAGGAGATTTTGACTATTTGATTAATTAATATTAATCAATTGATTAAAAGTAAGGCCGTCTTATTTTCGAAGTTTATATTTGATCGATGGGATCAATAATTTCCCCCCTCAAATTGTATTCAATTTAAGCTTTTAAATGAAATCTAGAATCATATTAAACTTTATATTTTTATAAAAAAATGACCAAACCAAATAAAAAAAATACCTATAATAAATAATAGGACATGTTCAACCCCGAGCTCTTACATAATAGTCTCTAGTTAGGCGAAAATTTGACCTAAGTTGTTCAATTTCCATCCCTGTTTGGCAATGCGGGTGGCTGAGAGCCAAGCCGCGCTGAATCATTTATGCTAGCCGCTAATAAAGCTTTTGGGGGAATCACGAAATAATGATTGATTGGGTAAAAAGCGTAGTTATAAAGGTATCTGTCTGTGTTTTTCTACAGCTAAGCTCCATTTCCCGATGACAGAATCACCAGGGTCCCACACTGTCACCCATGTACCATGATTTCTAACCTCACTAGCCATTAATCAATTGCCACGTTTCCAATGATGATGTCATATCACACAGTTACACGTGCTCCCTTGGGGGGTTTGTTCTCATGATTAGTCCTGCTTCGTTGCTACGTTCCCCATGCTGTTTTCGTGCAAGACTCATTAATTTTCTTATCTTTCTTTTTAATTTTCTTTTTCTTTTACGGAATATATATATATATATATATAGGACAAGATATTCTTACACTGGTGTAAGAGCTAGAAGTCTTACACTCAATATTAATCATTGATCTACTTGTATCTAATGGCTCACATTATTAAAAAATTAGAGCCCTTAGATATAAATGGGTCAAAGGACAAGATTAAGAGTGTAACTTATACTGGTGTAAAATGATCCTGACTTTATATATATATATATATATATATATATATATATATATATATATATATGATGAGATAGGATCTTTTGACACCAGTATCAAATTTAAAATTTGATGACACCTCATTTGAGAGTAATCAGATGAAAAAAAATCAATGGTCAAATCAGAGTTGTTGATTTTTTTGTTCTAATGGCTCTCAGACGATGTGTCAAACTTTAAATTTGATACTAGTGTCAAAGAATCATAGATGATATATAGTATATACTAGTGAATAGTAACATATTCAAGCAACTCCCTGATACTCAAACTCTTTAAAATTTGTTCCGGTTGATTTAATAATTTAATCATCCAATCTCTCATATCTTCTACAGGTTTTATACACTGAAATTTTGAGAAAAATGATTAGCGAAGATGAAATACATATATATGGCCTGAATGTCAAGTAATTATATTTATTCGTAATTTTATTTTTGCATGAGTTAGAGAGGTTGAGTTTTAGATGTTGGTTTCGTTTAGGATGTGTAACTGGTTTACAATATGTTGTTGTATGTACGCATTTTCGACATTCTACGGAATCAGTATTTGACTATTGGACAGAGAATTGATTTTTATCGACGTGGTGAACGCACCTCCTCAATCCACTATATAAGGAAGAACAAATCATGATTTACTTTGACATTTTGTTTGTATTTATGTTAAATCTGGAATGAATGAATATAAAAACGCAAAGAAAAAACATAACGGGGAATATCTACAAAAAAATAAAATTAAAAAAGACGGAGAGAAAATTACGTGCAGAGAGAGAGAGAGAGATAGAGAGGTGTAACCCAATCCAAGAGGGAATTGAAATTTGAAGGCTTTATGGCGGAGAAAGCAGCCTTAAAAGGGTGTTTGACGTACGCATACTCTATCTTGGTGAGAACGACATCACAAGTAATTTGGACTAATGATCCTATCACAAGTTTTATATTTCATCCTTCATTCTTCATGGAAGATCATTTCCATTGTTAATATTCACAGTTTGTTTGATAATGAAAATGATTTGAATGTTTATCTTTAATTATCATTCTCCTGATTTACAATGTTACCCACCTATCGTTGTTTAGGAAAACATCATCCTAAAATTATAAGAACTAGGAGCCACGTGTGATGCCCCAACAAATAAGTAAAGTGTAGAGATGAAGTTGTTTCGTTTTAAGCAAGAAAACATCATTCTTAGCAATGTGCGAATTGAGACAGAAAGATTTTCAGCCTTTTGTTCTCACTGATTAATGAGTGTCAAACTATTAATCTGATTGTGTTTGTCGCAGAAGTTATCTGATTATCCATGTGATGGATATATTGAAACTATACCGCAGTTCAACAATTTTGGGAATTGTCACATGTGATAGGTGTGAATAAATTGGATTCAGTCTCTCTCTCTCTCTCTTAGAAAACTAATACTAAAATTCATTTTTTTCATGCTTAAATTAAGATTTTTTTTATTTTAAAAAATTATTTTTTTTACTTTAAAAGATTAACGAGTTACATTTTAACTGTGAATAGGTTTCTTAAGAGCAATTCCCCGCCCCCATGTACAAGCCTCTTAGTATTATCTTCGTCTAATTTTAAATTCCTGTTATTAACTTCAAAACTTTAGAAAATGAAATAAATTTTTTGGATGAAGTTCTAAAACTAATAAAAAAGGTGTTTATTTAGAAGTTTGTTTACATTTTTATTTTTAGGGTTCGCTTTTTATGCAGTCACTACAGATAAGTTATCTGTAGTAAACTCAATACGACGTTATTTTGGGACTGAAATCATGATGTTTTTGTAATTTTAATTTATTTCAGGGTTATTATAGTCTTCATAATTATAATTTTTTAATCTCTTAATCCCAAAACGACGTCATTTTGGGAGTAAATACAGATAATCTATTTGCAATAATTACAGAAATATTTTTCTGTTATTTTTAATATCACCATTAATATTAAGGTATTTGAAATAAGTTATTGATGACACTAGAGTTATTAGTTTTTAGTACCATACATTTCCTCTTAATTGAACACCTTTTTTTTTTTTTTGGCAAGCTCTCCCAATCTACGTTGCATCGACACTGACATGGGACACGACATTCCGACACATTAATTCTAAAAAATGTCAAATTTTGACACGTTAAGACATGTTTTGATATTATATAATATTTTTAATTTATGTAATATATATATTTAATATTCAATAATTTAACAAAAAATAATACTCATCAATTTTGCAAAGAAACATAAGATATCCCAAATGTTTATATTAAACTCAATAAAATAGTAATCGTGATTCAACAAATCTAATAGTTGGAACTCAAAATGCAACACAACGTAACCTTTGAACCTTTTTTGAGTTTTTGCAACAAGTATTGTATTGTCGGAAAGTGTCAGAGTGTTGGTGAGTGTTGAGAAGTGTCAAACACGACACGTTAATAATATATATTTTTTTTTATAACACACGTCAAGAATTTTAAAGTGCGGGTGCTTTTCGTAGCTCCCAATCCAGTAAATTAGTATGGACAAAAAGCTTTGAATTTTGATGTTGGGCAAAGATAACAAAGGAGCAAAAGCCTGTTAAAATGGAAGAGGCCCAGGCCCAGGCCCAATAATCCCCGAATTGCATCATCGTCCACCGTTTTCCCTTTCTCCACAGTTGATGAAACACAAGCAGTGACAGTATCTCCAAATCTTAGAAGCACGATGTCTATAACTATAACAAGAGCTCTTCCGTTAGGGAATAAATTCTCAACAACCACAATAACTGTCTCACCCAAGGTAACAACAACATGCTTCAGAAATTAATATAATTGCATTTCTTGTAATTTAGCTTTTGCAAATTGAAATGTTGCGCTTTTAATTGCAGACAAGTTGTATAAATTTCACGTTTGTCCAATCCAAATTTAGTCCCGTAGAGAAGGAGAAGTAGGTTATTGATTCCAATTTTTTTTTCTTCTTCGTGAAGTTGATCTGTGCTTCATCTTCTAATGCATGATTGGTTGTGTGAATAATCTGGAATGCAGAAAAGGGAAGAAGGAAGCGGGAAAGAAAGAGCATCACTTGTGGAAAAGAAGAGATTCGGCTCAGTCTGGCCAAAAGGCACTCACTCTTGTCAGAACTGTATGTTAACATACCCATTTTCATTTGGTTCATAATTTTAAGGGTATGAAATGAACCATTTATTAAGCACTAAGAAAATAATTTAATGAACAAGGGGAGAACATTTTTTTTATTTTTTTTATTTCTGTGTTGTGTTGATTTCTGGTTTATGTGTTGTGAATCTTTGAAATGGTAGGTGTCTGAACTCCCTAATGAGAAAGAGGCTGTTTATGGGGCATTAGACAAATGGACAGCTTGGGAAACAGAGTTCCCATTGATTGCAGCGGTTAAGGCTTTAAAAATCTTAAGGAAGAGGGGTCAGTGGACTCGTGTAATTCAAGTACGATCGCTTTTTTGCCTTTCACTTTTTTTTTTTTATGACTGATAAATTTTGTTTTTATAACATGCCCTCTAGCTGAAATGCCTTTTTTCAAGTTTTCTGGGCTCTAGAATTGTCTGCTGACGAAATTAATAATGGTTTATTGTTAAAACTTTTGATAAATGAATTGAAGTGTTAATTAATGCTGAGATTGCTCAATCATGCTTAAGATTAGCATATAGTTAGAGGTAATGCATAAATGAAGAATGGTCTTTAGCTCATCAAAATGTTCCCTCAGCTTTTGAAGCTCCAGTTTGAATTTGAGTTACTTATGGATCTTGAATATTTTTTGTGTATTTCATATATCAATATGCTTTCATTTAGTCCTTCTTGATTAAAATGTTTCATCCATCATTGTTCAGTCCTTCTTGAGAATGCCATCCAGGTTGTGTTTAGGTCATATAAATATGGGAAAAATGTCTATCATTTAAAATTACACAACTTACATCCTTTCACTCTCACAAAGAGGCGGGACCCACACCTTTATTTTTTTTGTCAACTCTCTCTCCTACTTTATCTATCTCTTTCTCTCTCTTAAAATGACACAACTTTACATCCTTTAAAATTATACACACTTTTCCCTATAAATATGCATGATATTAAACAACCATCTCACGTAAAAGCTCAAGTTGTTAGGTGAAGGCAACATTAACGGTCTAAGACCCTCACACAAGAGCCCGTTGGACTTGAAGGGTGGACAATGCACAGACCTTATCTACCTGCGCTACGAAACTCCACAGTATTTAATTATTTATTAATAGAATTATGGACGGTAAGAATCGAACTCGTGATCACTTAATCACAGAGATTCTGATACCATGTTAAACAGTCATCTCACCTAAAAGTTCAAACTGTTCGGCGAATGTCACATTAACGGTTTTATATTTCTCTAACACATAAGTTTTGTCTACATTCGTCTGACATCTGAGGATTGGCAAATTATGCACATATGTGTATGGATTACATGAAATTTGGTTACTTGTGAGGAATGTAAAAGAATCCTAATGGTTATCAGGTAGCAAAATGGATGTTAAGCAAAGGTCAAGGAGCAACAATGGGAACATACGACACCCTTCTTCTGGCATTTGATATGGAGCAGAGGGTAGATGAGGCAGAATCATTGTGGAATATGATTATACATGCCCACATGCGCTCTGTCTCGAAGAGATTGTTTTCTAGGATGATTGCATTGTATGATCATCATACTATGCCAGATAAGATTATAGAGGTATCTTTGGCAGTACCGTTTCTCTCACTACACCTTTACATGAATTCATTCAGTAATTCTGAATTTAACTCTTCTATGCCCTAACATATTGCTTTATTATCTGTAAGTTCAGATATTTGCAGACATGGAGGAGTTGCGGATAAAACCTGATGAAGATACAGTCAGGAGAGTGGCTAGTGCCTTTAGAGAACTAGGCCAAGAAGAGAAGCGAAAATTGGTTATAAAACGACATGGGTTTAAATGGAAGTACATTCACTTTAATGGTGAACGGGTGAGAGTTAGAACCGAAGCATGGGAAGTAGATGATGAATCAACCAAGTGAAATGGGTACATGTCAATGAGGACAAATTAGATTATAATATCTGGGATATGCTGTTCTGAAGCAACTATCTGGTTGCTTTCTACAGTTGCTGCGTCAGAGGCTCACCAATCTGATTCATTGTCATGTATATAGGTCCAACTTAGCAACTGACCGATCAGGATTTGAACTACATTGAGGGATGGGGGCGCCGCAGCCAAATCTGAAAAATGACAATGTTGTATGTATAGATATATTAGGTATCTAATACATAAGATATATATGATGCCTACAACCGATACTAATTTTCTTTTTTCGGTCCGTACTAATGATTCGTTGGTAAATGTTCTTATAAGATAATAAGATACAGTGATTGCCAGCAGTAGATCGTTGCGTTGATGTGATACTATTCATTCGTCCTTCTAGCCAAGTAATTCAGAAACATACGAATTATAGAATTGGATATATGAGAAATCTGCTGATTTGAGCTGGGAATGGATTAAGTGACAATGTTAGCTTGTCTTGATTTACAAGTGATTCAACCTGCCTTATATAATTTGGAGATGAATAGAATGGCTGTTGGACCTATTGTATACAATCAGACAGTCTTCTTGTTTCTTAATCATATTACGTTATGTTGGGTTATCCTTTTGCGTTTAGCCTCCCAACACCAAACTGTCTATAACTTGATTGTTGTTATCATCGTTAATATTGCTATTACTATTTACCGGGAGTGGATCCTCTCATGTGAAAAAGTGGTCATGTGGTCATGTTATTTGATCACAACCATTCATTTAAAATTATACATTTTTCTCTCTCTTATCTCATCATCAATGAGTGGTTGTGATCAAATAACATGATCACATGACCACTTTTTCACATGAGAGGATCCACTCCCCTATTTACCCAACACTAGAAAGGAAAGAAACACAATCATTTCCCAGGTTTGTATTTTATTTATATTATAAACAGCACTGCTTCTCAGTTCCATTATAATTGTTGCTGTGTGCTTTCATTGGCTCAGCATGAAGATGCTCAAGCATGCTTAACTTCATTGGATTCTGAAGGCAGAAATTATTCCCTTTATGCTGGCTGATATACCACTCCTAACCAAATTAAGGTTATGCCTTTTGTGTAAATCCTGTGGTAGTAATCTGCCTTAAATGTTCCTGTTACATTCAATATTTGTGAAGACTTTGTGAAGACTGCATGTTTGTTTTACTTTTGAATCCTGGCCTGGCCAAGACCTGCTTTTAGGTCCCATGTGTTCGACTTTTTTCTATAGAAAGTTATGCGTGTCAGTCCAGTCACTTCAGTAGGTTTGGAGCACCAGAAAAAAAAATATTGTTGACTTCATTTTTATCATCTCTCTTTATTTTAAAGATGCATGTGAGTCCGTTAGCTCCCGAAACATGATTAATTGAATTCCTTAGAATTTCGAATACCCGTTGATATTTATAAAAAAATAAAATGCATGTAGGCAGATAAGTATTGGTTCAACTAATACATAAGAAAGAACAATATCGACAAAATGGTTTTAGGTTAGATTATTGTTGATAAGCGTTGATGTTTGTAACATGTTCTAACATCAATGAGAAAACTTTCGTTCTCATAAACATTTTTGAAAAAAAAAGAAGCCTAAATAGGTGTATCATTTTGGTTTTTTGACTGTGATTGTGTTTGATAGATATTCATTGTCAATTTTACCCTCCAATACAAAGACTTTTCTCAAAATTACACTTTCGAATGCCAAAACCTGGTCAAGATTTTAAAGCGGATGAAGGATCCTCAAAAAGCATAGCCGGGTAACAGCTGCAGAGTGCTTAATTTATTATCCAAAATGCCAAAAATGGCATATGATATCGGTCTTCATCATATATGAGTAAAGAAATCATATATGAGCAAAGAAAGGCTCAGCCAAGATGTCAACTCAGCTAGGGAAGATTTGCCAAGAAATGAAAAACTTTTAACATTCAAAGAACTTATGCACAATAATTTTGATTGGTGATATCTCGAAGAGGAAGAGAGAAGGTACAAAAAAGAAGCAGCAGCAGCAGGAACATAATGTCATTGCTGTGTTGTTCTTTAATGAGAGTACAAATCAATCCTCAAATAACGATATTACTTTCATACTTAATCACATGGTCCTACCATCGCTTTTATAGAAAAGACACTGCTACTGGGCTTCTTACAACGTGATGTTGGTGAGTCCAAGCATACCATCCAAAATAGTACTTATCTGGGTCAGACTTGGTTGGTATCTGACCTCTGTTTGCTGTCACTGTGATGATGAAGTTCATTTTCTGCCCAACATGATTAAATTTCAGAATGTTTGGAGTGGCTGTAATGGAGAATTCCTTTGGTGGCTTAGCAATAAACTTGTAAACACTCCTGCTCCTGTCAACATTGGTGACTGCCCTCTTAATAGTCCTAGTGTCATTGAGTCTATGGACTTGTATGGATGGATAGTTAAGATCGAACTGTTCAGGAAATGACTTTGTGCAGTTATATGTAACATTCAAGTTTTGAGCAGTTACTCCAAGGCTACAAGTGTAAAGAAGGTAGTCCATGTAGGAGGCATCATAAATGAGTCCAGGATCTGCTGCTCTTACAGGGCACAAGTGGCCAGAACCCATTGCAAAAGGCGTTGCACGATTTCCAGTTTCATCAGTCAGTGGATTGCCCGTGTTGTCTGTTATCCTGGCTGCAAGAAGTAAACAGAATTCAGATAAGGAAAATACATGGCAGGGAATTTCAATGTGCTGTGAATGTTGTTCCGATAGACTTATCACCATGGTTTAGCTAAAAATGAGGATTGTTTTGTTATATTATAATAGCATAGCATAGTATAAAGTTATATAATCAGACAAATAAATCATTCCCTTTATATAGATGACTAATTGCAGCCCATTCATGATCTGATTGGTATAATTTTATTTGTTGGGGTTCCAAGTTAGATTGGTCTTAATATGATTCAGGTCTATATTACTTCCACTATATCAGTCAGGTGTGAAGACCTAGGTGAATCAGTTAGGTCTTGGTCTTGAAATTTACCTGTGGTTACGAGGGCAGATCTTATAGCAGCACTGCTCCAAGTAGGGTGTATGGCTTTGATAAGAATTGCTGCTGCAGAAACATGAGGGCAAGACATTGAAGTTCCAGAAAAGATGTTGTACTTAACAACTCGTTTATCGTGAAAAGTCATTCTTGTAGGGCCATCTTCTGCAGTCCATGCTGCCAATATGTCTAATCCTGGAGCTGTGATGTCGGGCTGAAAGCCCAAAAAGGTTCAGGAAACTTGAAACTATAACAAATCATGGTACTTTTAACTGTTATAAACTTATAAAAAACCAAAAACCACTCCTCGTTAAACCCGACTAGCGAGTGTGGGACGGAGGAAATCCTTGTACGCAGCCTTATCCTTGCATAATTGCAAAGAGGCTGTTCCCTTCCTGGATTCGAACCCATGACTTTTCAGTCATGAAGGAACAGTTTTAACTGTTATCAACTTATAATTAGTAAATTTTATGAGACAACATAGGTACAGGTCTAGGACCAATTCTGTCTTCTCCAAAAAGCAATGGTCATTATGACAGATTAATTATCAAAATATTCTTAAATATGGTGATAAAGTCATGGGAATTACCTTCAGGATATTAGGGTCAATTATATTTGGACCCCTGCTAGAGAAGGAGGCCATGGAGGGTGCTGGTTTGGTTTCTAAAACTGTTCTTCCTGGTAGAAATTGTGCCATTGGATTAGGAGAGGAATGGATATACTGAACAAGTTTCAAGACATTCTCATAGGACACCCCAGTGGCTGGAATGAAATGAGGATCACATGGTACATCATTTCCATATGTTTTATTGTTCCCAAGGATAAAACCAACACCACCAGCCCTTTGAACTTCTAGGCCTTTTAGTAATCTCCCCCCTTGCCCTCTCATGCAAACAACTATCTTCCCCTTCACTTTGTTAGGTTCAAGAGTATTCTCCAGGCAATACCTGCATGATTAAATAAATCTTTTCAATTTATTGCTAGTCAAATAATCAGAATATAATTAAAAAAGTGGTAAACATTAGTATTGAAAAGTACCCAGAATTTGTACGAAGCACGCCTTGATGTTCAACATCTCCAGCGAGAACCAGCGGGTGGAAGCTGTTTTTGCTGGGGAGTGGAGTAATTGATCGACCCTGATATTAACATAGATAAAAAGTTATAATTCAAACGGGTTATAAAGTTAAATTTATTTCTTGCAGTGCATCTTCTATTTTACAAGAATTGAGTGAGATGAATTACGTGATTTTAAGAAACTATTATTATTCAACCAAATAATGGTAACTCAACTCGCGTCAAGGAACTGAGCAGGTGGGGTGAGACCGTGAGAGCATGTGTTCGATTCTCTCTAATATCGTTTTTGGAAGAGATTTAAAACCTTAATCTCGGAACCCGCCTCGAATCGGATTAGTCGCGAAGCAATACTCTAATTGGAAAATCTCAAAAAAAAAAAAAAACTATTATACTTCTTATTTATTTAAAAATGTATACATCAAGGGTTTCAATTTTCAACTTTGAAAATAGACCCTCTTAACAAATGTTATGAAGTTTTTAATTACCTACTCTTCTATTGCTTGTTTATTGAAAAGTATTCACACTTAGAAATTAAAATTATCTAAAAATGTCATTTTTTGAAGAAATAAATTAACTACTAACATATTTTTCTGAAGTTAAAAAAGAGATTGATTTTCAAAATTAAAAAATTAAGGGACTTATATGCCAATGCCCAAAAGTTGAGAGCACTTATCCTTTTTTTTTATTTTCAAGTGAACTTAAATTTACCTCAATAATTGTGCCATTGGTTAGCTTAATTGGAGCAAGAAAGGAACGGTCCACAGTACTAGCACCAACAGTGATGATCCATGGGGCAGGGTTTGACAAACTTTGAGGAAAAGGACCAGAGTTCCCCGCACTACAAACCACAACAATGTTCTTCTTTAAAGCATGTAATGCTCCTATAGCAATCACATCTTCCTCATAAGAGAGTGGCATCTTGAACCCAATGGAAATGCTTAAAACATCAACACCATCACCAATGGCATCATCTATAGCTTTGAGAAGATCAATGTCCATGCATACGTTCCCTTCATCTTTTGATTTACCTTTAATTGGCCAACATGCTTTGTATATGGCAAGGCGTGCTAAGGGGGCTCCTCCTGAGGCAGTGCCTTTGGCGTAGCCTCCAAGGGCTGAGGCATTTGGAACTGCACGGCCTGCAACTATAGAAGCTGTATGAGTTCCATGTCCATCTTTGTCACGAGCTGATTTGTAATCCTCCTTTTCGTTTAGACGGCCAAATGCACTTTCATAACCTTGCAAGTAGTACCGAGCTCCAATAATTTTTCTGCAACAATATATATATGAATAAAGTTGGAAAGTTTAACTCTCAATCTCAATATTTTATTTGTTTCTGTGTAATAACTTATGTCACTAACAAATTAAAGTCACGAGATGTAGTACAGAATAAATTTAAGATTATTATTCTTATATTTAACTGTGCCCATATATAATTTATTAGATTACCCATTAAATAATTACGAATTCTTAATAAATTATTACAGTCTGATCATCAGAAATTAACAGTTCAAATAGATATCAAACTTTGTAGTTTCAAACAAGTGTTAAATGATTCTACCCATCTCTCTTAAACCTATATATATATATATATATATATATATATATATATATAGGGTTTATCATTTCTCTAGTTGCCGGAGATAAAGTTATCTCCGGTTACTAAATCATAACCGTACAAAGATGAATCAATGGTGATAAAGGAAGAGAGAGAAAAGAGGAATCATAACCATTTAAAAGTAAATCAATACATATAAGAAAATAAATAATCAAAACGACGTAGTTTTGGGATGGCCAGAGATAAATTTATCTCAATCAGCTTGAGAAATGTTTTTCTCATATATATATATATATATATATATATATATATATATATGGGAAATCGTCTGTCACGTCGCTGGAAAAGTGTTGTGTCCTCTGGGTGAGAGAAAAATACATGGGTCCCACTTAAATTAAAAAAGAAAAAAAGAAAATCATGTGGAACTCATTTTTAATGAGTCTGCAGGAAATTATCAATTGGTCCTGCAACATGACCAATTGATTTCCCATATATATATATATGGAATAATATATGTCATTTTAAAGGATATAAGCTTATATCATTTTAGATCCTAACCGTTGATTTTCGTTCATCAACGGTTATAATTTATTGGATCAAAATTATTAATTAATTAATAAGAAATTTGGCCCATTAAGTTTGACCCAATAGATTATAGTCGTTGATGGACGGAAATCAACGGTTAGGATCTAAAATGATATAAGTCTATATCCTTTAAAAGGATAAATGTTTTTACCATATATATATATATATATATATATATATATAGGCTTATCGTTTCTCAAGCTGCTTGAGATAATCTTATCTCTGGCTACTAAATTATAACTGTACAAAGATGGATCAATGGTGATAAAGGAAGAGAGAGAAAAAGGGAATCATAACCATTCAAATGTGAATCAATTAATATAAGAAAATAAATAAATAAAACGATATAGTTTTGGGAGTAGCCGGAGATAAACTTATCTCAAGCTGCTTGAGAAACATTTTTCCCATATATATATATATATATATATATATATATTTTGGTAGACAAAAGGGCTAAAAGCCCACAACAAAAAAATTAAAGACAACAAAACCAAAAAACAGAAACGAAATAAAACTCAAGTTCCCAAGATGCGCCTAGGCCTGCTAATGGAAGCCAAGTTCGCTTGAAGAACTAGGAACATCCCAGGCGGAGGGTCTTCAAATCACAAGAAAGAAGATTGATGTCCTTGGTCCACTCCATGATAAGCCAACCAATCTACACAAGTATTACCTTCCCTAAAGGTATGAATGAATTTAATATTCCAATCTCGCGCTATCTATACCCGTATGCGAGTCACTAAATGAGATTCACGAGATGCATCGCTGTTGAGATATTCAAGTGTGATGAGTCTCACATTGGTTGGTAATGGGCTAAGTGAAGAGTATATAAGTGGAAGGACCCATGAACCCAATGCCTTAAGGTTTTGGATTAAGATGTGGTGTCGGATCCACTTGATAAGCTAGCTTAGCTTAGCCCATTGGTGGTGGTCTTCCGCCACAGGCTTTCTCCTGGACCTGCCTAACAATGGTATCAGAGCTGGGTAGGGCTCGAGCTAGCCTGGTGATTGGCTAGGAGGCAAGTTAAGTACTTAGGCCCTAGGGCGCTCGGTTGAGGAAGAGCATATCAATGTTGGGTTTCACACTTGAGGGAGAGATTGTTGAGATATTCAAGTGTGATGAGTCCCATATTGGTTGGTAATGAGCTAAGTGAAGAGTATATAAGCGGAAGGACCCATGAACCCAATGTCTTCACTTGGTGTATTTGATACCACTGTCAGGTGGGTCCAGGAGAAGCCCGTGACGGGAGACCACCACCAATGAGCTACGTAGATCAAATACTCCAAGTGAGTCTGTTAGCTGTAATAGGTGATAAAAAAAGGTTATAAGTATAATCTCCACCGAGAAACATTAATTGCATATATATATAGGAAATTTTTTTCTATATTGTTGGAGATGAATTATCTCATGTTAGTAAAACAAAATTATAAAAGGGACCCACAAATAATCGTAGAGAAAAAAATAAAGGTGGGACCCACGTTTGTTATGTGTGTGTAGGAATTTGATTTATCTCATGTTGAATGAGATAAATATAACCTATATATATATATAGGTAAAATTATTTCTACAGTCGCTTTACATACAACAATGACAGGTGTATGGTTATGATTCCCCACATTTAATGCTTTCATCTTTTGTAGGGTTATGATTCCCCACACTCAATGCTTTCACGTATATATATGGCAAATATTTGACTACTGCACATACAGCAGTTGCAGAAATGCTAACCCCATATTACATATATATAAGGTAGGATCCTTTGACAACGGTGTCAAATTTAAAGTTTGACACCTCATCTGAGAGCCGTTATATAAAAAAAAGATCAATGGTGTCACATGTTTACAAATCAAAGTCGTTGATCTTTTTTGATCTAAGGACTCTGAAATAAGGTGTCAAACTTTAAATTACGATCCTGCCCTATATATATATATATATATATATATATATATATATATATATATATATATATATATATCAAGTAGGATTCTTTGACACCAAATCCTATCCGTTGATTTCCGTCAATCAACGGTTATCTTTTATTGGGAATTGATATTAATTAATAAGTTTGATTCCCAATAAATAATAACCGTTGATTGACAAAAATCAAAAGTTAGGATTTGGTGTCAAATTTCAAAATTTAATACTGGTGTCAAAGGATCCTATCCCTATATATATATATATATATATATATATATATATATATATATATATATATATATATATATATGAAAAAAATATTTTTTCAGCCACTTGAGATAAGCTTATCTCAAGCTACCTCTTTTAACTATGTACTACGAGTTGTACATAGTTATAACGTTAAAGTTTTCTTTTTCTTTTTCCTCATTCACTTTTCAGAACTTGTCTGTTGATGTGGAGAGAATTTTTTTTTTAACATTATAACTATGTACTCCCCGTAGTACATAGTTAAAAGTGGTAGCTTAGAATATATAAAAAAAAAGGTAGCTTGAGATAAGCTTATCCAAGGGGCTGGAGAAATATTTTTTTCCATATCAAATAAATTCGAAGAATCATAACCATACAAAGGTGAAAGCATTAAATGCAGGGAATTATAACCAATCAACGGTGTAAGATTTATTGTTAGACGTCTAGCAGCCGGAGAAATGTTTTACCTATATATATATATATATATATATATATATATATGGGATAAGATCCTTTGACACCAAATTTCAACCTTTGATTTTCGTCAATCAACAGTTATCGTTTATTGGAAATTAAACTTATTAATTACTATCAATTTCCAATAAATGATAACCTTTGATTGACGAACATCAACGGTTGAGATTTGGTGTTAAAGGATCTTGTCCCGATATATATATATATATATATATATATATATATATATATATATATATATATATATATATGGGTTTTGTAAGAGTTATGTTGTAGGAAAAGCGATTGTGTAATGTTACAGAGATTCGTTTTGCGTGCCATAGTTTTTTTTTTTGCTTTAAAAAAGTATGGACCCCACAAAATGTTGTGTGTGTAGGAAAGTTTTTCTGGTCATGTTAAAGGACAAACTAAAACCCCTATATATAGGGTTTATTGTTTCTTCAGCCACTTCATATAAGCTTATCTCCGGCCACCCCAGAACTACGTCGTTTTGAGAGTTAGAGAAATTAATGAAAGGTGTTTTTGTTAAAATTCATATAATAAAAAAATGATTAAATTACCTAAATACCCTTTATTGTTTCCCTTAACCCTCAAAACAAAATAGTTTTGGGCTGGCCGAAGACAGCCACTTGAGATAAGTTTATCTCTGGTCACGACAAAACTGGTTTTGAGGGTTGAGGGAATTAATGAAGGGTATTTAAGTAACTTTAAAACACCCTTCATTAATTCTAATAACCCTCAAAATGACATAATTTTGGGGTGACCAGAGATAAGTTTATCTCAAGTGACTGAAAAATTATTTTTTCTATATATATATATATAGAGATTTATTATTCTTATGTTACACAAGAAAAAATTTATCTCCTACACACGCAAATTTAAGATAGGTCTCACACTCACTCTACTTTTTTTTCTCTCTCTCTAAAAGTGGACCCACCTGCTGCATAAATGAGTTTGTAGAAGATAATAATTATCTTATCCATAAGAAAACTCTTACCTATATATATATATATATATATATATATATATATATATATATAAAAGGTTTTATAAGAGTTATGTTGTAGAAAAAGTGATTGTGTAATGTTATAAAGATTCGTTTTGCGTGCTTAGTTTTTTTTTTTGCTTCAAAAAGTGCGTGCCCAACAAAATGTTGTGTCTGTAGAAAATTTTTTTGTGTCATATGACATGATAGATGCAAACCCCATATATATATATATATATATATATTCAACATCATGATCATCACGAGTAAGCAAACTATGACTTGTCAGGGCTATATATTTTTCATCAGTCTGTCATTCCAATACATACAGATGAGAACGTTGTCTTTTACTTTACTTGGCAGTTTCTCCTCTCTCTCTCTCTCGTGCATATGTTTGGGTGTATTGGCATGCATCGACCATTTTCAGTGTAGAGCTCTTTAATAATTGGACATTTCTCTTTTCCTGCAATCATCTATATCAAGACTACGGGAATTGGATGGAATCACACAAGCCAAGAGAAAAGACATTGACAGAATAAAAAATGGGTAAAGACATATTCTTGACTAACAAAAGGTGTAGTATACACTAAAATACAGATAGAGAGGCTCACAAGATGAAAAACAAAAGAAGCCAAAAACAATTAAGTCAAAAAGACAAAGGCTAGAAATCATTCAAATCTAGACGAACAAGCCTATGTAGATATACTATTTAGAATTTGACCCCACTTTTTGCGAAAGCTGTATCTGAAAATTCCTTCTTTGTCCATGTGTCTAATTCATCTCAGAGAATTAATGAAGTGCATAATGATAAAAAAGCGGAAAAAAAAGTATCATTTTAAATGATACAAGCTTGTGTCTTTTTAGGTGATTTATACAAAGTCTGACCCATAAGATTTTGTGTAAATCTGAAAAGTTATTTTTTTTCTCTCCTCATTCACATCGCTGACACGTAAAATGAAAAAAAAAAAAAAAAACTTTTCAAATTTATACAAAGTCTTACTGGTCAGATTTTATGTAAATCACTGAAAAGACATAATTTGTGTCCTTTATGTAACATCCCGAGCGCTGACGAGGGCGGGGAGTGATCGCCGGTGCGAAAGGGCATGGACAAGGAGCGGCTCCTGACAGGCTTCCAGCGGGGAGTTACAAGCATGAATGAATCGAACTGACACCCGAAAGAGAGGGATTCCAAAGACTGTGCAGGTGTGAGACTGCACAGTTTGGGATAGCTTATAAGAATTAATTGGTACTACCTATGCTAACAAGATGCATCTGTTTTTCGGTAGCCCGGAACGGAAGAACTCCATAGTTAAGCGTGCTTGACTTGGAGAAATTCTGGGATGGGTGACCTCCTGAGAAGTTTTCCCGGGAAGTGTGCGAGTGAGGAAAAAGCACACTGAAAAGTCTCGTGTTAGTATGTGGGGATAGTCGTTGATTCTTGAAGCGGCCGGGCGTTACAAGTGGTATCAGAGCAGGGCCTCTCTTCCAGTACGGTGTGACTCGAGAACAAACCAGACGGAAGCTGGTGGGCATGTAACATCCCGAGCGCTGACGAGGGCGGGGAGTGATCGCCGGTGCGAAAGGGCATGGACAAGGAGCGGCTCCTGACAGGCTTCCAGCGGGGGATTACAAGCATGAATGGATCGAACTGACACCCGAAAGAGAGAGATTCCAAAGACTGTGCAGGTGTGAGACTGCACAGTTTGGGATAACTTATAAGAATTAATTGGTACTACCTATGCTAACAAGATGCATCTGTTTTTCGGTAGCCCGGAACGGAAGAACTCCATAGTTAAGCGTGCTTGACTTGGAGAAATTCTGGGATGTGTGACCTCCTGGGAAGTTTTCTCGGAAAGTGTGCGAGTGAGGAAAAAGCACACTGAAAAATCTCGTGTTAGTATGTGAGGATAGTCGTTGATTCTTTAAGCGGTCGGACCTTACACTTTAAAGGAGAAACCCTAAAAAAACACTATATAGAGAAAACCAACATTTTACATGTCAGCTATATATGGCTCTGAATCTAGTAGTTGCATTAAGGAATCTCTTTTAACCCTTTACATGTCCTTCCTTATGGAACTCTTAAATTATGTTCTTTGTTCAATTTAAAGTTTTTTCTTCTGTTTTATCAATGACTTTTATCGATATCTCACAATATTCACCAATAAAAAATATCTTCTTCCTTAGCATGTAGGCTTGTAGGGTAATTGGTACTGTTCTTTCACATTTTGTTTTGGCTGTCTTTAAATATATGAATATTTATATACCATGAAAATGACATGCGCATAAGTTATGCAGCAGATAGTGAAATGAACTTTTGCTTTCGTAATATTTAAGCCACTCGTTAACGTTCCGTACAAGATTTAAAATAAATGGATAAAAAGAAACTACTAATATTGTCCAACTCAGAAAGGAGCCCTATTCAAAGGTTCCAAAGTTCATCGAAAAAACTTTCATTTCAAAAGGCAATTGTCTTGTCATCATTATATGTATATCTAACTAGAAAAAACAATGAAGCTAGATTGAAGCTTGATTCAGATATCACAAGTGTAATGCTCTATTTAAAAAATTGCTAGCAGTACCCTTTAAGAAAAGACATAAAACGAAACTACACAAGTTAGTTTCTTGTGTAAAAAAAAATAACTTCAACCCTGATTTATGTCCTACCCAAGTCCATTTTTGCTCAAAGAAGACCCAGAAAGCAAATTCCTTATTAGCAGTTACAGCAAAAACACCGAATCATGTAAATTGATTGACATTTATGACTAATTTGGTTATATATCCTCAAAATTATTAAAAAAAAAGAAAAAAAAAAGTGCAATAGAATTAAGTGATATAAAGAAAAGCAATTAGTACTCACCTATTACATTTAGATGAATCGAAAGCAGTTCCATTTTGGCACACTCCTGTCCAATTTTGTGGAACAGGTCCCATCCCTTCATCACTGAAGCTCCTTGACTCTGGCCACACACCTGCGGGTAAAAGCTCACTCATCACATGCTGTCATGCAAACACATTCACACACAACAGGTGGCAAAACGGATAACCCGACCCGCCTCGCCTTAAAATAACCCAACACACTCCACCCTGTTAACATATTAAAAAATGATTTTTTTTAAAAAAGTTATAGTCCCTGTAAATGTAAAAAGTATCAATTAAAAACAAAAAAAATAATAAAAAAATAATTAATTAGTTTTTTTTAAAATAAAAAATAAAAAATTAACCCTGCGTCAATCCCTTTATTAGGGGTTGAACTCATTTTGACCCACCCATAAATAAAGTGGGTTTAAGAGGGTCAGAAATTCTAATCCAATTTTCTATTTGTGATGAGTTAACCCGTTTTCTCATCTCTTTCTCTCTGTATACATTGACTTGTATTATGTAAGGAATTACATAATACACTTGATACATAGAGTTATATGCATATAAACGGTCATATTTAAATAACCACATATATTTTTAGAGAAGAGCGAAGAGTTTTAAATGTGATTAGGTCCCAATTCGAAATTAGTCTTAATCACCTCAAAAAATCAAAGTTTGTGAGAATAACAGGACTCGACTCAGTTCAAAGAAATAATTAAGGTCAAATAAAAAAATAAAAAATAATAACCATACATAGGAAGATATTTATGTTGGTCAATTACCACTGTCAATCATTCCTACTATGATGTCTTCACCATATTTGGCTCTGGTTAACAAGTCTTCATTTGTCTGATTGGATTCTTCTGCCCAAGGATTTAAAACCCCTTCTAATCCCACGAACTTCCATGACCTTGTGGTGTGCATAGAGTAGATCCTTGGCTTGCTCTTATGCACAGAGACCACCCCCTCCATCTCTGTTCCAGATTTTCTTTGCAATGTCAGAGACATAGAGAGAGAAAGGTTTGTAACAAGAACTACTAAAAATGGAAAAGTTGGAGAATAATCTAGTTTTACCTGAGAGCTTATTGGCTTCTTTTGGGGTAAGCAACGCTGCAAAGCCATTGATACTGTGTTTGTAACTATAAAGAAAGGAAGCTCGGGCTTCCTCCTCAGTTTCTTTCAACGAAAGCAAATAAGAGTGATGGGTATTCTCTATTTCATGCAGAGTTTTATCTCCACTAGTGTGCGCTCCAAACTCAACTATGTAAATCTGTGACAACCCAATGTTTCACATGTCACACCACATAAAAATCCAGAGGACTAATACAAAAATAAAATACTTCGGAAGAAGTAGCAGAAAAATGAAAAACCTGCTTCTTTTTTGTGCATGACGCCAAGGGAAGGAGGAGGAGGAGTAAGAGAAAAGTTGCGGAAATGTTCTTCATTGTTACTTGTAGACAAACGCAATTTGATTATAGGATATTTATAGAGGTTACATGAATCTTTAATCAACGCTAGCCCTCCCTAATCTCTATACGGTAGGGACCGAAATTTATGTTATATGATTATACGACAAGATTTGATAGATATGATATTATAGGTATAGGACATAATTCTTGAGTGGTATCATTTGATGGATATTGTTATCTATTGTTGAAATAAATTATTTTCCGTAAAAATAATTGTATATCCTCATATTTTAGGATAAATATCTCATCCCAATTCATAGAGATCAATTAAGATTAGTTTCAATATTATCTTCCTAATTAGTATTGATTCCGTCATATGAATTGATTAGGATCAATGATGATTGGTTAAACAAAAAGTTGGGATTTCACAAAAAAGTTCTCAATTTCTATTAACTAAATAACAAAATTCAACTCTTAAAATAAGGGTCATAAGCACCTTTTTATAGACTAATTACAAATTAATCCAAAATTCAAAATCCTAAAAATAATAAAAATTCCTAAAATAAATATAACAGTAATTAACCTCTAAATATAAATAAATAATTACAATTAAATCATTCAAAATACGTCCCAAAACTTAGATATGAAATTAGAGATAAGATATTGTAACAATCAATTAGTGTTACTATCAATGTTATTACCAATCGATTTCACCGTTAGATCGATTATATTGATCCAACGATTATATTTATTTTCATCTTTGTATGATTATGATTCTCCATATTTAATGTAAAAGCATTAAATATGAGAAATCATAACAATACAAAGGTGAAAATAAATATAAAGTATCAAATATGAGGAATCATAACCATACATAGATGGAAATAAATATAACCGTTGGATCAACATAATCGATCTAACGGTGAAATTGATTGGTAGTAACACTAATTGGTTGTTACAATATCATTTCCCATGAAATTATGCCAAATGTGTTGTTTTCCTTTTCTTGTCAAACTTAGATCTTCATCATCTGATTCTCCGTCAGAATGATCATCGTATACTGGATGATCATCATAATTTGAATTTTCATTGTAAGATGGATAATTCTCATAGATTGGATGATCATCATAAACTGGACCCAGGATCATAAACTTCACAATCAGGAATGTTGAGTTGCATCTTGATTTCTTGAAAAGTGAACTAAATTCCAGGTCGTACTTTCCAATTCTTTGTCTGGTTTAGAATCCCTAAGGGATTGACGTCCTCCTTTTCTTCATCAGATGTGTTCTCTAATTCCATTTCTTCTTCGAATTGAATGCCCAACTTTTTCCAAATGTTTGTTTTTTATGCTCTGCGCCTCCACAAAAGCTCGCTTCAAAATTTGGATTTTCATGCATACCCGCATGAGTCATCGCTCCAAATATTCAATTCTCTTTCTCCGCACTGCATAAGTTGCTCAAAAACTTGGATTTTCTTGTCCAACGCTTGCTCAAGTTGTTATTTCAAATCCTGAATATGCCTTTCGAGCTCGTCAATTTCTATGTTATGCGGTTCTATCTGACGCAGTTGTCTATCTCCTTTAGGAACGAATCCACGTCCCTTATCTTCACGACTCTGCCATCGATGACCTCTACGATTCTGTTCAGCAATTGGTTGAAGGCAACCTAGTGCTCTGATACCAAATGATGCCGAAAGAGCATAGAAAAATGGCTGCTAAACAGAAAGTTAAGATTTCATAAAAAAAATTTACCCCCGGTTCTCAATTTCTATTAACTATGTAACAAAATTCAACTTCTAAAATAAGGGGTCTTAAGCACCCTTTTATAGACTAATTACAAATTAATCCAAAATTCAAAATCCTAAAAATAATAAAACTTCCTAAAATAAGTATAACAGTAATGAACCTCTAAAAAGTAAATAAATAATTACAATTAAATCATTCAAAATACGTCCCAAATCTTAGATCTGAAATCATGCCAAATGTGTTGCTTTCCTTTTCTTGTCAAACAAATCGCAATCTTATCTGCTGCTTCATGTGGACTTGGATTTGATTGTAATTTGTTATATTTCAAATTACTGCTTCTTTTAACAATTGGGCCATATTTATTGGGCCACAATTCTAGTTGACTCTGAGCTTCCTGAATCAATATTTTAATCATGTGCAATTGGCTAACTGTAAGTGCATCAATCAGTTTCAATGTTTTCTTGATATGGATTGATTTTGTAGTTATTAGCTTCCATTTTTCATTAGTGTATAGGCTGCAAGTATATATATCAATTAGGATGATCAGTTTCAATATTGATTCTTCTTTTGAACCATTAACGTTTTTAGTTTTTACAACATTCATCCGGTGTAGTAAAAGGAGTATGTTTGAAAATAGTTAGAGTTTTATATACTTTGCAGATACGATTTAAAACAAAGTCCATATATATGCTTGGTATCAAGGAGGTAAAGGGTAAGAAATAAGAATCTTAGTATGAATTAAGGCATGCTACCAAATAATGACAGACATATGAGATACGCATGCAGGATTGTGGCAAAGTCTTTCCTTTCATTTCGAAAAAGAAAAAAAAGGAAGACTTTGATCTTGTCCAATTATACATTTCCGTATTAGTTTCATTTAGAAATTGTGATTTTTTTTAATAATATTTGAATATATATCCTTAAAAAATTATAATTTATATTATTTTCTATAAATTATATATGATAATGTGGTTAAGACTTAAGAATGTATTTTGTTTTCAGTAATTGCTCATATTATTTAGAATCGAGAACTGTGTAAATCACTATATAATATCTAGGATGGCATACCCTTTTTACTGTTATAAATCACTATATAATATCTAGGACGGTTAAATATTTTATAAATTAAAAACATTTAATAAATTAAAATTTATTATTATAATATTTAAAATATATAGATAATATCGCATAATAATATTAAGAATAACATTATCCTAAATGATTTTTTTAATATTAGTTTTTCTAAATTTTTAATTAGGAAACTCCTAAAATGTCACAATCCAAATTCTAATGTTTGGCACACATACTATCATCCAATAGCCTAGCAACTTTATCTAAAAAAATGATTTAAAAGGCACATGATGAAATATACAACAAAACCGGTTGGTAGAATAGCAACTTAAACTTAAATACTTTTGTCCACATATTAACAGCATATCGAGTTCACAATTTTATTTTTTTTGGTAAGCATATCGAGTTCACAATTTATAACTAACAAGATTTGCTAGATCAATTTAATTATTAGAGGCTATCTTCTTTCTTTTATCTGAAACTATATAATAATAATTTCGTAAGTTGCAATTTGCAATACAAGTCAACAAATAAATATTAAAGACTATAACATACGAAACTTAACAATACATAAAATAAAAAATAATAATAATAAAATCAAACTGTAAGGTTAACAAATAAATTGCCAAATCTAAAACAATTTATACATACAATAGAATTGAAACTTTATAAAACCAATATGCAAATTTAACTAGAAATGTTCTCAAGCAAAATTAATATAATTTGATCACTGATTTTATTGTCAAATCGGTGCAAATTCAAAAACATCAATTTTATTATAAATCAAGACAATTTGATAATTAATTTTTATTTTTTCCTTTATTCAATAAAATATAATAAATGATAAAGTTATTTGTTATCATAATTTTGAAATATATTTTTTTTTAAAAAAATCAATTGAAAATTGGGAAATAATGATAAAAAAGACTTATAAATAAAAATATTGTTAAACACTTTGATTGTAAGATTTTCCTAAAATAAATATATTTATAAATATTATGAAATATGCTAAATAAAGTATCTAAATTAATTTTTACTCTGATTTGAATGCTTTGTAATGATATTGATTGTCAAAATATTTTTAGTAATGTTTAAAAATGAAATATGTTTTCCAAATTTTTCCTTTTAACAATAAATAACAATATATGTTCTGAAGAGATGTTATCCACGTAGGAAACTTCTCAATATATGTCAATATATACCCGGTAATTAATATGCCTAAAAATCTGATGGACGTAAGTAAGTTATATTAACTGTGAAACTGATTTAATGACTTGTAAATACTCGCTAGTTAACGTAGCACGAAGATAGTTAATTAACAATTTTTCAAATATATTTAACGAATTCAATACCTATATATATATATATATATATATATATATATATATATATATAGGGTAAAGTGTGTGTCATTTTAAAGGATGTAAAGTTGTGTTATTTTAAGAGAGAGAAAGAGATAGATAAAGGAGGAGAGAGTTGACAAAAAAATAAAGGTGTGGGTCCCACCTCTTTGTGAGAGTGAAATGATATAAATTGTGTCATTTAAAAGGATAAACACTTTTCCTATATATATATATATATATATATATATATAGGCTTATTATTTTTCAAGCTGCCGGAAGTAACTTTATCTCCATCTACTAAATCATAACCATACAAAGATAGATCAATGGTAATAATGGAAGAGAAAAAAAGAGAATCATAATCATTCAAAGGTGAATCAATTAACATAAAGAAATAAATAAATAAAACGACGTCGTTTTGGGATAGCCGGAGATAAACTTATCTCAAGTTGCCGGAGAAATATTTTTCCTATATATATATATATGACTTATCGTTTCTCAAGTTGCTTGAGATAATTTTATCTTCGGCTACTAAATCATAACCGTACAAAGATAGATCAATGGTGATAAAGGAAGAGAGAGAAAAAGGAAATGATAACCATGTAAAGGTGAGTCAATTAATATAAGGAATAAATAAATAAAACGACGTAATTTTAGGGTAGCTTGAGATAAACTTATCTCAAGCTGTTTGAGAAATATTTTTCGCATATATATATATATATATATATATATAGGGAAAAGTATTTCTCCAGTCACTGGAGATAAAGTTATCTCCAGTGAACTCAAAACGACGTCGTTTTGGATTATAAGATTAAAAATTATAATGATAAACACTAATATAATCCTACAATATATTAAAATTACAAAAATATCTTGATTTCTATCCTAAAATGACGTCGTTTTGGGCTCAATGGAGATAATTTAATTTCATTGACCGGAGAAATCCTTTACCCATATATATATATATATATATATATATATATTGAATTTAAAGTTTCTAAAATTATTTTAGATAATTTTATCTAATATTCATCAAAATACAAAAAAAATAAATATATAAACCACATTTTTTTTCCTCTTCAGATGGATCTATATGAATGCCAATATATCATACATTTTTTTTATGTATATTTTAATAAATATTAAATAAAATTATTAAAAGTTGTTCATAACTTGTGTGTATATAATTAATAAATTTGTGTACCAAAAAAGAAAAATTAATAAATTTAAAGGAAACTGTTCCTAAATCTATAATCAACCTTAACTTGTTCCAAACTTGCAAACACGAGGCAAAAGTTTTTGCATTTCCTTCGTTTTGAAACTCCGAATCAAATGCGAACCGTACGATCAAAATCAACCCTTGTGATCTTCATCGCCTTCCTTCTTCTCACATCAGCACCATCTCCTACCCAATCCCTATTCTTCTCCTTTTACAATCACTATCGAAACCTCTCATCTCTCGCACACTCCCTCTTCAACGGCGTCGCCAACCTCCGCTCCTCACGTGGCGATGTCGCCGGCGCCGACCGAGCCAGGGGCATCGCCGACAAGCTGGAGCGGGGGCTGGGCTTTGGCTTCTGGAGGATCATGTGGTCCACTTGGATGTGGACGTGGAGGGAATTGCCCCTTACGGAACTCTACGGCGCCGTTTCGGACATGAACGAGTTGCTGAGTGGCTTGACTGAGTTGACTCGCATGGAATCGGCCGCGCAAAGGTCTGCTTGGGTTTCCCGAAATTACCAAAATGTCCTCACCGTCTCTAAATCGCTCTATCGCAAGCTCCTTAAAGCGTTTGGCCAATCGGTACGTACTACGTCGTTTCATTTACTATTTTTTTTTTTGTGGTTAACTTTTTAATTTTAATTTTAATTCTTTTTGGTGAAAGTTAAAATTTTAATTTGTTTATGTAAGCATGGCATGCACTTTTTGATTTAATGTTAATTGTTTTCCTATTCATATTCATGTTTTCATATAGTTTGCAATAACCAATTTTATCTTCTCCTCTAAAATATTACTTGATTATGTGCTCTTTTACCCTTTCCCTTGTTATTGTCTTTTGCAATTCATATGGTGGTCAATATCAGGGATAGTATCTTGTGTTTTGTTTTAAATTCATTGCTGCAATGAACAATTTAATTTAACATAACTAGTCAAACACAAGCTAGAGTTACACGTATGAGTAGTTCATGTAGTTATTATGCCTATGGTAAACATGGGGACTTAATGAGAACTTTTTTTTTCTCAATTAGGGACCAGAGCAAATACTTTTTCTGTATAGAGATTAGATTTAAAGTGAACGTCAAATATAAGGATACAAAATTTAATTTAACCTTTATTTTTTTGCTATTTATTTTTTTCAAGTTTTATTACTTTTTTCACCTTTGTTTAATAAGAGAAACCTTGTTATACGAGCTTATGATTGACCATAATTATATATGTATTTGCACTCGTATGTATATATGCAATTGATTGTGTGGGTTACTTTGTTAGTAATATTACTTAAAATAGTTGAAGTATTCATAGATTTTAGCCTATACAATGACAGGAACTGATGGAGACGTTGCAAATAGAGGTGGTGGAAGGTGGGTTAATCAGAGATTGCCTTGAATTGGGTAGCAATGATTTCAAGGCTTTGATTCAGGTTGTCAAGGATTTGGTATTGCAATTTTTCCCTGTTCATGATAAAGACCCTGAACTATAACTAGTAAATAGTAATGCGTAAGTATTTGGACCACTGATGAACTTTTAGAATTTTGACTTTAGTTGCTTTTGGACTGGTTTTGAGCTATGCTGGTAGCCCTAGGCACTTCCTTATAAGTGACCCAACTCAATTGCTTTTGTTTGTTTTCAGTTTGTTTCTCTTCGAATACAAGATTCCAGCGTGAACCAATCTATGTATATTTAAGGAGATAATTTTATTTCCTGTCCATACATAAGAGTGTGGAGCCATGTAAAGGGAAGAGGGAAAAAAAAAAAAAAAACTAGAATCCCATATATTTTTATGTGTGTGAAAGAGATAAAAATATCTCTAATAACATAAGAAATATTAATTTCATATTGAGTTACTGCTACATAATAATGATTAAACAAGAAAAATGTAAATATTAAGGATTAGTTATGATCTTTGTTTGAGAGGAGCAGATTTCTAAACTCCTCGCTTAGTTCTTCTTGTCTTAGCTCACAGTATTGATATCAAATGTATACTGTAGAACTAAAAACAAGAATATGTATTACTCCTTTAATTTCCACGATTTTATTTTCTTGAGTCAAGCAAAACTAATCTTGAACAACGCAGCCAATAAGATTAGCGATAACGAGCTTTGGTAACATGCAGGGGATTTTTCAACCTTTTATAAAAATTTATAAAACCTTAAATAACAAGGTATTATGGAATAGAATAAAATAAACAAGTTATCTTTTAATATTATACAAATAAAAGGAAAAGAAACAACACTTGAAGGTTTGTCCAAGTTAAAATTACCATAATTACAACTCTATTGAGGCAAACTTTAATGAGCTTACGGCAGAATCTGTCTTCATTTTCATTTCTTCTCTGGTGTCAACGACTTTTACATCTAACTATTATTTCTCCCTAGACAATTTTTGCTCATCCCAGAATGTCCCAGCTTTGAAAGATGGTTTCGGTATAACAAAAACGAAATAATTATCAAAACATAACAATATAAAGGATTCTTTCTGCATGAATATAGAAAAAGAACTAGTTATTTTGTTAGTTATTTACGCTCAGAAGGCATTGCTTTATAAATGATTAAATGTATACAGAATACCAAAAACAAATATGTATAAAAGAAATAATAGCCTATTAAATTATACAATCAACTGTCATGATCCTAAATATAGATGGCTGAAGCAAATAAAGATATTACCACCTCATACTTCCACCAAGGCTCTTACATTGAGCACAAAAATTAAAAAGCAAAATTTCACCGTAAGATAGTGGAAGCTGAATATATTTGGACCCAAACATGTTCCTCTTTGTAAGCCAAACTTGCCTCGCAAGAGGCCTCACATGTATACACGACAATTGACGCCCAATCCAAAGAGTCCGCTTCATTATCAACCCCGAAGTAATACAGCAGCTGTGGCAAAATCTGGAACCACCAACATTCACAACTCAGAATCTAAAGGAATCGAGCAAACATTTGGTTGACCAAGCGAGAGAAATAGTAGTACATGCAGAATACGGATAAATCTTTGGTACCACTTTGGTATTCAAGTAAGTACAATATTTTTCCACTTTTTTGGTACCACTTTTTATCCAAGTATAATATTTTTTCACTTTTGGAAAAAAGTGCAATGTGACAGGAAAAAGAAATTTGAAAAGTGTTGAAATTTTTTCTAAAAGTGAAAAAATGTTGTACCCACTTGAATACAACAGTGGTACCAAAAATTTATTCACAGAATACAATGAGCTTCAACTACTGATTTCTCGAATAACTACCTGAAATTCACAACACATAGGTCCACCACAGTAAATGCATTTCGGGATATCAGCTTTGGATGGCCGACCACTTGAAACGGGCCATATTGCCTTAGCATTAGTATTCCTATAATACCTGTTTTTACCATATGTAAGTACCAAAACTGTAATTAAACACAAATAAGTTGATAAAATAAATACCATTAGCCAGGTCATACACGGTAAATTTTTTATAACATAAAAAACATGATTATCAGAGTAATGTGCCTTTTATAATGTGATTTTGGAGGCAATTAAGATGCATAATCTAAATTCCAACTTTTGTCCCCCGAGGCCCCGACTTAAACAGTAATCATTGTCAGATTATGCAAAAATAGCATCTTGAAAAAGGTTGATATCTCTCAAACGTTAGGTTAGACAGTCATAGGCAATGAATATTTCTCCAGCTTTCCTGCTTACTTATATCCAAAGGCAAGATAATCCCATTTGGGAAACATTTTTTCCCATTCAAATTGGTAAATAATATGCCTCCGTAAGGGCGGCACCTAAGGCAGTTCTCCAGATTAGTTAACTTTAAATTTGCTAAATATTAATCACCTCAATACTTGTTCAGGGACTTTGGCAATGCGTTCCTGGAAGTAGGCCCAACTCCTTTTGTCATCATCACCCTGTTCCGGACAATATAATTATCAAATAATCTACTTAAATAAGTAATATAACCTTATTAAAAAACAAGAGATAATACCTGAAAATTATCCAAAAGTGAATTCATTGTGTCATCAATCGCGTTCCTCGAGATCAAGGAATTGGCTAAGGTATTGTCATCAGTTTTGTCTTTGTTATATTCACTTTCATCTTCAATGATGATCTCAAATTCAGGCCACACATTGTTGCTTCCAACTGTATGGTAATTGGTAACGATCTCAGATGTGAACCAGCAGGAAGCTAAATAGTAGGTATCATAAAATTTTAGACAGTAACCTCTAATGACCAGTCCATGCTTTATTTTGGAATGTTGTCAAGCATGTTTGAAGTTTCTTAGCCAGATACAAATTTAAATATCTTGTCACATTCATAAGTTCTTTTCCTTCAAAAATTCAGAATTAGATTTTTATGCCTGAGCACTACTATAATTAGTTGCTGTATTTAGATTTCATCTGAAAAGGGCTAATTTTTATGTTATTAATAAGAAGAAAATAAACCCTGTTAAAATATACAAAATCTCAAACCTCTGTGACCTTTATGAGACTCCAAAGAAGTGGTTCCACTTTTGTTCTGTCCACAAAAAGATGACGGAACTTTCAACTGCTGGCAAGCAATTTTATGCCCTGAGCGCCAACTCACAGCCTGTAAGTTGAAAGAGAAAAGGAATTTTATATAAATCAAACTTATGGAAAGAAAACTAAATGACACATATAAGCAATTCAGTTACCTGATGTTTCTCGGAGCAATACCGTACTTGTTTGCAACTACTACACAACTTATCTCCTTTCCAGGTACCACACCAATCGCAAAGAGCAGCTGAAAGTAAGAAGAGAATTTATATGAATAGAAGTAGAGTGGAACAAAAACAGTTTTATACAATGTTGTACTCCAACACCTAAGTCATTGAAATTGCTAATCCGCTTATTTTAATGAACAAAAGGCCACATATTAATTATATGTTAAGTAAAAATAATAGTACAAATAAGAATACAACGTGAGAGCGGCTTGTTCAGGGAAACCAAATTTTGGTATTGAAAGGTGACTTTGACATTGTATCAATTTTTTTCCTTATAAAAGCATGATACCACCATATAGCAGTTGCGGAAAGATGGTAACGTACTAACATGTAATCATGAACACTATCTAACTCATGCAGGAATCCTTAATATTACTCTTCAGTCTCACAACGAGACAATCACAAGTATAAAGATTCATGAATCAACAGACACAACTAAGAAGGCCAGAAAAAAAAGATCCCAACGGAAACAACAATCTATCTTTACCACAACAAAATAGAGGACCTCTTGACAATTACGAACACTTGATTTTCCCCAGCGAAACAATTACCGTAAACAATTAAACATTCATAAAACTCAGGTAGAAAATGAATTTATAAAAAAGGATTAATGTTTCTCCAGCAATAGGAAATAAAGTTATCTTCTGTAACCTCAAAACGACATCGTTTTATGGTTTAGGAAAAATAATGTGGGGTATTTTAGTAAAATTCGTGATACAAGAGGAACGTAAAATTTCCAAAATACCCTACATTTTTTTTCCTAAACCCCAAAACGACGTTGTTTTTGGGCTGCAGAAAATAATTTTATCTCTTGTTGCTAGAGAAACACTTTTCCCTTATAAAAATGATCACAACAAATTTTTATAAGATGGGATTATTTTCTGCAAAATGAAGCAAGAATATAATGATGATGAGTAAACCAACCTCCATTGCCAGTAGGTTTGTGCCCCCCATCATACTCAGGGCATTCACTTGAGTAAAAAGGATTAACACGAGCTAATTGACAACGGAAAACCTTCACACTTCAATAAATCATTACATAATCAGAGATCAATGAAGGAACTAAAAAATGGAAAACTTTGTTTAACAGACGATTTTACTGACCTTCTAGACGGCTTCTCCGGATAGCGTTTCCATTGCTCGTGCTGATCCCTGAGAAGACATGTCATGGAAGGACACATAAAAACAAACAGCATCCGGTGAAAAGTACTTTCCTTCTCAGTTGGTGCATAAACCTTGCAGTTAAAGGGTTTTATACAATTTATTATGATCCACACGGACAATACAAACCATATGCACATCAAATAATAGCATGAGGCATTAGCATCGTACCTGAAGCAGGAATTGTAAAGGGTCTCCACAAATGTCACACACAGAGGACCTCCCTGATGGTAAATTCAGAGGGTCAAGCCAAGCCTATCATTCACATCACAACAGATCATATAATCATCAGAAACTCAAGCTTGGGTTTCATTGAATAAAGCAAGACAGAAGCAGAGTGTGAGAGAATTATATGAGATGGTAAAGTACCGGGACTCCACCAGCTTTGCTTGGGAAATATTGACGGCAAAGATACCATTGATTCTTGGGCTTGTCAACAAAACCAAGAGTGACAGGTTCAGATTCTTCATCATCGTCATCATAATCATCAAAATCGTTGTCTTCATCTTCATCTTGGTCATCAACAATTTGAATAGCCTTGAGCTTGTCGATAGGATCTCTAAAATGTTCGGTGTCCATCTTGGGAATGGAGTAGAAACTGCTAGTCTGGTAGAGAGCAGAGAGTGATGGTAAAGGTGTAGGGCTTAGAGATATACCAGAAATATATGGCTGTATCACCGGCACTGGAAGTTGCTTTGGTCAGAACTCAGAAGGCCGGGTCACTGGGTCGAGCAGTTGAGCAGTTGAACTGGAAAACCTGGACGAACAAGAAAAAAAATGCTATATTAAAAATAGTTCATATCAAACTTATTAAACTATAACCACTGACAAAATTTAATAATACATATAATTTTCAGCCTGAAACTGCAAGACTGCAAGACAACTACACATAGAATAATTGACAATGGCCATAAAAGTCAGAGCTTTGATAAGCTTAAGAAGCTGCCACTGTGGGACAGAGACTTAAAATCTACGGAAGGCCATTGCAAACCTGTAAAATAATCCTGAGTTGTTGGAAACCAACTACAGCTCATAGGTTCTATCCTTCAGGTAACACGAGACAGTAGGCTGTAGGGCTACAACCCAATTAATTCAACAAGCAAAATAAATCCACATTGGGTGCTTTGAATTGCCCATGGCTAACAAAGTAACAGGATAGGACTGAGTCATGATTAAAATTCATTGACCTCCTGCTTACAAATTGGCACAATTCAGATTAAAAGCCAAGTTTTGGGCATCAACTTCACGGACACAACAAGACAAAGAAAAAATCTCACACAGAAGCCATGATTGGGATAGAAGTCACTGTAAGTAACTTCGTTACTAAAGGAACTCATAAAAATGCTCAAAACCGAGGACCAACCACATGCAATCGAATGGCTCTGTATAGAATCACTCATACAACTCAAAAAACAGAATTACAGATTCATACAAATGGTTAGTTTCAAATATACTCTTCACAGCAATTCAGGGAGACAATTTGCAAAGGTGCAGCTTTATAGTACAATTTCCTGTCATGCATAGTCAATTTATATCAAGAATACTAGGGGACCAAGGCTGAAGTCAGAAAGCTTATTTCACAAAGGTTGATATCATCCTCTTCCGAATAGGCAGAGAAGGAGTACAACAGCAACTCAGAATTCAGTGCAGGGAAAGGAAATCTTAATTTTCAGAAGAGAACCCAACAAGAAAATAAGAAAAAGTGCAGCCAGAGTATCATCCAAAGCATTGGAGCATTTCCTCAAACAGTTTGTGTGCTAAAACGCAATATGTAAAATCACGAATAGGGGAAAATTTCAGGCAGGGGGTCTAGACTTCCTACCCAAATCAGCGATCGAAGGTTGGGTGGTTCGGTTTTTCGCCGTTGATCACGAGTTTCTCTTGCTCTCTGAGTTTCGCCCAGTTAGGGTTAGGGAGCCATATCATAAAATACCAATTACTTTATTTATTTTTCTTATTTTGGGCTCATAAAATTTGTACGGAAGTTACTAATCTCATGTTACTTGAGATAGTTCTCTCATGTGTGTAGGATAGATATGTGGGATTCACACTTTAAAACAAAAGAAAAAAGAAAACTAGCACAAAATTTGATGAGTGTATAACATGGGATAGTTATCTCCAAAAATATTTCCCAATTTATATTTAATTTCTTTAGTTATATTCTGTTAAAAAAATATTAAATTATATTTAAAAATTAAAGATGTTATATTTCTTCCTTCTTTTACATAGTTATGTCTCCAAAGTTCAATTATATTGATCTTTTAAAAATTGGCAAAAACAAATTAAAATATTGTTTTTTAATAAAAAATTACAAAATATTATTGTTTTGAACCAATTTACGGATCTATTGCACTCTCTCAAATCGCACTTAGGCGTGACCACTGAGCCATTCATGCCATTTTCAGGTGTGACCACTTACGTCAAAGCTAGGCATGACCTAGCTGGCCTATATATACCCTCACTTTTCACTTGTTCATTTCATACCTTTTTTTCTAAGATTTTGCTTTGACTTTTCCTTAGATTTTTCCTTGAGTTTTTTTGCGCAACAAAGCTCTATCAGTCAAATAAGTCTTAATATTTGGTTTCTATATTTTTTAATTACAATAATAGATATGTTATACTAGTGACTTGAAATTTATTAGTGACCTAGGAATTTGTTAGTGACTTAGGAATTTGCTAATGACCTAAGAATTTGTTTGTGACTTAGGATTTTGTTAGTAACCTAAGAATTTGCTTGTCCCTTAGGAAATTGTTAGAGATCTAAGAATTTATTAGTGACTTAAAAATTGTTGGTAGTCACGGGCATCAGTCGTGGTCTTATGTAAATGTTGACGACTTCATGATCAGTTTGAGCTTTGACCCAGACACAGTTGGAGAGTGACCTTCAGATCAGCCGGTAGAAGTCACCCCACTTCTGTACCATGCTTCTACATCACATTTGCACCATATTCTTATCCTGGCCAGAGTGATATATTATTTACCTTCAAGAGCTAATTTTTGACAGATTTTCTGATGCAGATCGATAATTGTTGCGCTTGATACGCGTTGACCTTTTCTCGCCTTCAAAAATTACATCACGTTGACCTTCCACTTTTCTACCATTATAATAGGGGTGTTCGCGGTCTGGATTGGATCGGTTTTGGAAGTAAAACTCATCCGATCCAATCCTTTCGGTTTGATCATGTAATCATCCATTCGGTTTAGATTTTTTTTCAAATCCGATCCGATCCAATCCAATTTTTTTCGGTTTGGATTGGATCGGTTTTCGGTTTTTTGAATATCCTAAAATTAGTTTCGTGATTATTGTGCAAATAACATCTTTTATATATATTGACTTTGTAAAAAAAAATTTGAAATACAAAAATATCAGTAAACAATACTATAGTTGATGAGAGGTGACTAAGTTTTTTTTTTTGGTTTAGTTGATGAGTTAATGGGTCTTGATTTTAGAAATTTTTGGGCTATGATTGGAGAAAAGACAAGTAGGTAGAGGATAATTAAATATATTGGATCGGTTTTCATCAACCCATCCGAAAACCGATCCAATCCAATTAAAATTTGTGGTTTTCTTTCGGTTTCCGATTTTTCGGTTCGGTTTTCGCGGTTTGAATCGGTTTGGATCGGTTGATGAACACCCCTACATTATAATATAGAACAACACAAACAGAATCAGAATGTGAACTCATTCTTAAATATATAAACAAAAAACACAAAAGAGTTTATGAATAGGCAAGTGAACTTATATGTAAGAGTAAGAGTTTATGATGGAGAAGATTTGTGAAGAGTGTGGAGAGAAGATGAGTTTAAATAAAGGACAATTGGGTCAATCGTGCCCAAATTAGGCATGTTAGTGTGCTGGGTCGCACCCAAGAAAAGCTGGTCATCCAGGAAGGTCACATCTGGAAAAGGCGTGAGTGGCTTAATGGTCACGCCTAAGTAGGACATGAGTGATTTTGCCCAAATTAAGCGTGGATGAGTGCAATAGATCCTGAAATTGGTTCAAAACTGCAATGTTTTTGTAATTTTTTATTAAAACAGTAATATTTTAATTTTGTTGCCTTTAAAAATTTAATCCCTTATCCTCTTAGGTGATAATAAGTTTTTTTTAATTCATCCTATTATTATATTTCTAAACTCATATGTACTTTAAAGTAGATTCATGTATGCAAAATATGCTTGTATACTCAAGATATAAATTAGATGTATTTACTATTCATGAGGAGTTTATTATACTACATATATTATAATTTTTCTCTATCACTTTAAAAATGAGAGAAATTTTTTTTTCATTATTTTATAATATTTCTTTTTAGTAAATAAACCTATAATGATAAAAAATATTTGAAAAAAATATATCGTTTATGTAACAATTATTTACGTAAATTAATTATTACAAAATATAAAATTGAACATAGTATGTTAATTAAGACATTCTATTAATTTTATAAAATATTTAAATTAATCGAGTAATCAATCTACTGATAAATTTATTAAATAATGAAATTATACTTTGTGAATTTTCACCAACTCTGAGCCTGAGTCTTTAGCTAAATAACATTCTCATATTACCTTTTTCCAAAGGGAATTTGAACGTTAATTAAGTCTAAATAAATGTGAATGTCGGTTGGTATCCTTTTACCAAAGATACAAAAGAAAAGAGTGAATATTATGTCATGCAAAGGGCAAAGAACGAAAAGAAGCAGAACAAGATGAGGTTTGTGGAAAAGAAGTCCTGCTCGTTGGTGCTATGAGACCTGTGAGCTATTTAGCGCAGAACAAGATCTAATAACTAATCGTTTTCCTTGCTATCGTGTTTTGCAATTCTCATAGCTCTAAACTTACAAACTAATCTTTTTATCATTGCGGAAACAATTAGCCCAAGTTGTGGGATAATAGCAAGGATAGTATCTTGTTTTATGATGTTGTCTATTATTGTAATTACTCTTACGAAGTGAGAGAGAAAGTTGTATTCTCATTGATTTAAGATGCAAAAAAATGATTAAGTTACAGAGGGACTCATCTACTTATAGTAAGGCCGAAAGAGAAAAGAAAATCTACGTGGCATCTGTTCAGTCAAACAAACTAACAGATCAGCCAAAACTAATTAACTAACTCATAAGCTAATAATAGAAACTAATAACAAAAAGCTACCAGTTGATAAACATAAGGGGAAAATTAACACGTGAGAAAATAAAGATCTCATCACCCCCACAAGTTGGGAGGTAGATGTGTAAGAGACCCAACTTGGACACAAAATCCCTGAGAAAAGCTGGATGGAGACCTTTGGTGAACATATCAGATAGTTGTTGAGCTGAAGGAATAAGAAGATGATGAATTAATCCCTTCACCATCTTTTCTCTAGTGATGTGGCAATCAAGCTCTATATGCTTGCTTCATTCATGGAAAGTCAGATTGTGGTCTAAGTGAATTGCTGCCTGATTGTCACAACAAACCATTGTTGGGCCGGGAATCTCAAAAAGAAGATTGTTTAACAGGAAGGTCCTCTATTGAAGCTCACAAGTGAGTTTTGCTAAAGCTCTACACTCAGCCTCTGCTAAAGACCTATTGATAGTGCTTTGCTTTTTGGATTTCCACGAAATTAAAGAAGAGACTAAGAAGACACAAAACCAGTAGTAGAACGACGAGTATCAGGGCAAGTAGCCCAATCTGCATCAGCAAATCCTGATAAGGTGAGAGTGCTCGTTGATGAGAAGAAGATACCTTTGGCTGGTGACCCCTTTAGATACCTCAATACCCGACAAGCAGCTTCAAAATGCACCTGCATAGGATTAACGACAAATTGACTTAGCTGTTGAATGACAAATGTTATGTCAAGCCTGGTATTGGTGAGGTAAAGGAGACGCCCTGCAAGGCAACTATATGCATTAGGCTCCTAACAAGGTTCCCCTTGGTTTTGACAAAGATGAGTGGTGGGATCAATTGGAGTGGAAATGGGTTTAGCCCCAAGCAGCCCACTGTCAGAAAGCATTTCAAGGACATGCTTCCTTTAGTTCAATACTATCCCCTTTTCAGAATGGGCCACTTCAAGCCCAAGAAAGAATCTTAATGATCCAAGATCCTTAATACGAAATAGCTTGCCCAAATGACTTTTTACTGAATTGATTTCATCCATGTTATTACCCGCGAGTACCATGTCATCACATATACTAGTAAGGCTGTAAATGAGCCATCAGATACCTTGGTGAATAATGAGTGATCACCTAATGATTGTGAAAATTCAAGCAGCAACAGCTCTGAGGTGAGTCTAGTGTTCCACTGCCTATTAGCTTATTTGTGTCCATAAAGGGACTTTTGAAGTTTGCAAACTTGGTTTGGATGGGGGTGAGACACTTTCTGGTACTAACATATAGACCTCCTCAGATAGATCATCGTGAAGAAAGGCATTATTGATGTCAAGCTGTTCCAGAAACCAATTTCGCGATGCTGCCACTACCAATAGAAGTCTAATGGTTGTCAATTTTGCAACTGGTGAGAAAGTCTCAAAATAGTCTACTCCCTCTATTTGATTATACCATTTTGCCACTAGTCGTGCCTTGTAATGAGAAATAGAGCCATCTGTGTTATGTTTTATCTTATAGACCCATTTAGAGACAATGCGGCGTTTGTCATTTGGTAAATCAACAAATGACTAAGTTTGGTTACGGTTCAAGGCTTTAATCTCCTCATTTATAGCCTCAACCCATTCAAGGGAATTTGCTGCTTGTTTGTAAGTTCGTGGTTCGACAAAGCTACTAATATTATGGCAAAATGTGGAATATGCAGAAGAACATTTGTTGTATGAAACAACATAAATATTGGATAGAGGGAATTGGCATCAGAAAGGGTATAGTGGAAATCATTTAAGCATTTTGCCCTTGTTCTTATTCTAGATGAGCGTCTTTGAGGAATAAACAC